TCAGCCCTACACTGAACTGATGCCTAAAAAATTGATGTTGATGCCTCGGAATCTTGAGTATTTTCTCTGCCCTGCTGACCTCTTTTAAAACAAAAGTTTCCAAGCCCATATTCTAAAGCACCCTTTTCATGCGAAATGGAAAGGGGGGGCTGGGGGCAGAGAGATAGAAATTAACTAGATGTATAAAGTGTAAAAAATGTAAACGCATAAACGAAAGACAGATGCTCAGTCAGGGGGCTGGGGGCAAAGAGAGAAGAAGCAGCAAACTGGACTCACAATAACAAAATATTTGCTTTGAACAGAGATGCTTTGTAATGAAATAATTCACACTGAAGCTTTTTAGCAAACTGCCTTGGGGCAAATAAAGGGAGAAGCGATTGGAAAGATGCTGCAGGAATAGAGAGAATTGCCCTCTAAGAGTCCTCCCTCTTTTGCACTTGCCACTCCCCTTCCCTCTCCATTATTCAGTGTAAAGTAGACACAAGAACTCCAGATATGCTTCTCCCAGCATTAGGGAAGTAAGAGAGATTAAATGCTGACTGTGATAAGAGCATTTGTAACTAATTAACTAGCAGCAACACAACTTAAGCTTATTATAGCGGAACTGTGACCGTCTTCCTCAAACTTTGGTCACAATACGAGTGTAAACAGCTTCTGGGAAAGGAATGAAAGTTCACCAAGGAACTTTGGTGCACTATCATTAAGCAGACTTCAGAAAGAATAAGTGGTGGGAAGGAGCTTTGGGACATATCAGTAGTTTGAAGAGGTGGGAACCAGTCCATAAAAGCATATGCCAGAACAAATCTGCGACTCTTTAAACATGCTGCAAGGGTGAATAATCTGCAAGTAAAGCCACTGTAGTCAATGGAGGCACAGGGCTTCAACTAAAATGTCAGGGCGATCAATCCCATGCTCTGAGTCACTGCCACAGGGCCACTCCCACATTCGTCTTGCTGCTGACAACAAAAATGCCCTAATCTGAAAAGTAAACCTTGGTAAGTGGAACTAAACCACTTGCGACCACCAGGGACACCAGCCAAAGGCTGTAGAAGCAGAGAGAACATAGGAAACTCAATCTGACCATTGGCTCATCTAGTGCAGTATTGTATCCATTCACTAGGGGCAGCTGTCCAGGGTTTCCACTCTCCCAAACCTACCTGGAGATGTCAGGGATTGAACAGGGACCTGATGTTCAGCCGCTGAGGCTCGGCAGGCTGGCAGGTTACATGTCGAGAAACATTTATCCATTATTTTAAAGCTGTGTTAATTCAGAGTCTCAAATTTAGCCATCTTATTCCTAAAAATTACATTTTGTCCCGTTCCCCCCCATATGGGTCTTAAAGCAATTTACAGAGAATAAAAATATACAACATAAAAAAGTAAAACATCAGAACAGCACTCATGGTGCAAAGGCCTCCAGAAATAAAAAGTTTTAACCAGACAGCTGAAACTTAGCAGCGATGCTGTGTGCCTGTTTTCTAACGGGACGGAGGTCATAGTGTAGGGCCCACTACACTGAAGGCACAACTGCTTGTTGACTGGAGCCATCCTTCTGGTCCGTAGGGGACCACTAATAGTGCTCACCCATTTGATCTCAGTATTCAGCTGGGGGAAGGCAGTCCTTAAGATATCCTGGTCCTTAGTTGTTCAGGTCTTTGTACACTAGTACAAAAAATATGACTCTGGCTCTGCAGCAGATGGAAAACCAGTGCAGGTCTTTTAACACCAGTGTTATTGTTGGCCATACTGTTCCCATCACCACTCTAGCTACAGCATTCTGCACTAGCTGAAAATGTTGGACATCTCCACAGCCTAGCATTGCAGTAAACCAGTCCTGGAATTACGAATGTACAGACTGCCATAGTAAAGTTACCCTTATCCAGGAACGGCTGTAGCTGATGCTGATACAAGGCACTCCTAGCCATCAAGGCCACCTGGACCCCAAGTGGCAAAGATGCTCACTATGGCGTTCTGGTTCTGGGAGGGCAATTCAGATGGGTGCCCCGCTCCTCTCCTCTCCTGTAACTCTCTAAGAGTTGGTCAGTGAGCGTCTGAAACAGGCAGCCTCCTGTACTGGTGAAGGCTCCTCAAGAATTTTGTCCTCATCTTGTTATTATTATATATAGGCTACATACCTGGGCTGGGGAACTGGAGGCCCTGGGGTGTTTTTCTGGTGGGGGGGGGCAAATATGGCCCTCCAGACCTTTCTTACCTGGCCCTAGGAATTCTTCCCACCCGTCTCTCCAGTCCACATCCCTTACTAGTCCTGCCAGTGTTTTTGCCTGGCTGGAATGTATACTTGAACTCTGATAATGCCTCTTGCTTGTTTAGGTGGAGGATAGAGAGGGGCACAAGTGTGTGGAAACTAGCTGCATGAAGTCAAAATTTACATGTGCTGGTCTGTAGATTTTTGCCTTTGGACCCACCCATTACTGGCATGTGGCCCTTTGAAGGTTACTCAAGAGGAAATGTCAACTGGTTTCTGAAGATGCCCAAAACCACATAAATAAATTACTGGGGAAATGTTAATATGCAAGAAGCGAGCCCTTCCAACATTATACCTATATGCATTAAAGTGTATTCACCCATAATCTTAGAAAGTGACATTAGATGAGGCCCCAAGACACTATTGACATCAGCCTGCAGTTCAATGATCCAACTCCAATTATTTTCTTCAAATACCTTCTACAACTTTAATTACCTTTTCCCAAATTAGGCAATAAAGTTGTTCAGGTCTCATAATTCTAGGGAACATCTGAGAACTTCATCAAGGGACTACCACAACTATACCATTATGCAGCAGATCAGAAGCCTTTTTGTTCCAGACATGGGGTGACCTTGTCCAATCTTTGCAGTAGTTTTCTCCCACAAAACCATTCCTAATGTATTTTGGATTCTTCCATCTTTGGGGTGTCTGTTCTCCCATATCTTAACCACGACAACCACGTGTGTGCATACACTACACACCTGTTCTCTGAAAGTTGATTCTTTTCTCATATTAAGACTCCCAGAAATACCAACATTCAGACCAAGTTAGATTAGATGATATTGCTTTTCATCCAAACATTTAATGCAGTCAGTAAAATCTGACCCAACCATCTCTTTTGCTTCAAAAGGTATATCATCTACCAATAGCAATAATGAGGGGAAAGTTGTGTACAAGAAAGAGAGAGACTAAGAAATAAAATGACTTCTTTTTCCACTGCTGTAAGGAAAGTGATTGTGTGTTTTTTGGCTTGCAGCATATTCAGAGTTCTTTGGGAATAATGGACCATGACAACAGCAGTGGCAATAGACTAGGCTAGCCAATACAATTAAGCTACATAACCAATCTGTTACAGCAAAGAATGCAATCGCCTATTAAAACCATCGCTACACACTGCACTTTGATCTTCTTTATGATAGCACTCCTTATCTGCATTCCATCATATCCACGGTAGGGCAGAACTACATGTCACAATGGCTGTAGGAAACCCTGGGGTCATACCTGCGTCTTCGTCAGCAAATGACTCAAGAACAGTAGCAACACAGGTGCTCATACACATCTTGCGACCTGCCAGTACTTTCATCTAGGGGCCCTTGGCCCAATTGGGTTTTCCGCCGCTTAGATGGATTTAGTATAGAACATGTAGTTTTGAAACCATTAATAGGTGCATTTGCAAGATTAGTTAATGGGCAAAAGGCAATAATCTCATTCCAGATCAATTATCCTGACCAAACACAACTGTCCATTTCTGTAGCCATAGCAACTAGCATGAATTAAGATCACCATTCCATGCTATCACCCAATATTACACAATTATACTCTGTGTTGGCATCCAGAATAGCTACCACCCCCTCTTTTCCTAATTATAGATTAACATCATGGTTTCTTCCAAAAACTTAGATTTAAAGGATATGTAGGGGGTGGGGAAAGTTTTTTACTTTTATCATTCTTTAACCATGCTAATTTGAGAGCACAGCAAGACGATTTAAAGGGAAATGAGTGCAAGTTATGTGATTTTGAGCAGGTGCTCCAACATACATTATTAAGGTTGGCTACTGTTTTAAATCTGAGTCTAAATACAAGCAGCTGAGGTGTATCAAAGGTTAGATTATCTGGATTAGTGATTTTACAGGCATGATCAGAGATCACTTCAAAACACACAACATGTGTGTTCAAAGTCCTAATAAGTTCAATGCTGCTTCCTCCTTAGGATTGCTATGCTATGTAATCACTAGTCAACAGTTCCCTATATCTGTAATTCAAATAGAAAAACTGCATCGGCTAGACAGAATGTACATCAAAAGCTTTCTTTCATGATTCCCTCGCAAATATATCCACACACACACAGGCACATTCAGAGTCATGTGTGGACACTTCCTCCACAGCCAGTTTGTAACAGCGCAGAGTTGGCGAAACCCACTGACTTCTAATGAGTCTAGTGATGCACAGTGGCTTGCAGGAATTCAGGGTTCAAAACAAACGCACACCAGAAGTGACTAGGAACCAGAGAGGGTCATGCCCTGTTGCCGTTTGTTTTAAAAGGACCAGAGCAGTTTCTTATGGACTTCCGCCCCAATCCTATATGTCTCTCCTCAGACGTCCCGTTATCCTCAACGGGGGTGGGGGACAGTCCCCTAAAACAAAACCAAGCACGTTTAGCAGCGATGCTGGGGAAGCTGGTGGTCCCTCCGGCTGTTGCTGGACTCAAAAGTCCCATGAGCCCCGAGCAGCAAGACCCACGATCGGGGATGCTGGGAGTTGGAGTCCAGCAGCGTCTGGCGAGCTACAGGCTCCCCTACCCACGATGTATAAGGCTGCCCTAGCTTAAACCAAGGAGGGACTTGTAAGGGGGGGGGAGAGAGACAGGTAGGAAGACGAAAGATGGATGGGTTTACTCAGGGGATGCAGGTTCGCGGACCGAGACATGTAGAACCCTGGCATGTAGGAGGACGCGAGGGAAAGCCTGGGTTGGGTGGGGTGGGGGTGGCAGTCCTCCAAACCGTCCGCGCCTTACCTCGCCCAGGCACAGCAAGAGAGGCAACGCGAGCAGCGCCAGCCTCCTCATGGTCGCGGCGGGGGGAGAAAGGCGGCAGTTCAGGAATTCGCCCTCGCCGCGGCGGCTCATGTTCGCTCAGGCTCCCTCGGCGCAGTCATGGCAGGGAGACTCCCGCCCGCCCGCCCGCCAAAACAGAAAGGAGAAGGAGAAAGGCGGGGGACGGAGAGAGAGAGAGGGAGGAGGAGGAGGAGCGCCGTCCAGGTTCCTCGCGCAGCCCTCTCGGCCCCGCGCCTTGCCCCGGGCGGCGGCGTCCCGGTGCCTCTTTCCTCTGTGGCGGCGGCAGCGCGGGCTCCGGGGGGGGGGGGGAAAGTGCGCGGCCGTAGCGGCGGCGGCGACGGGGTGGAGCGAGATGCACAGGCAGGACAGGCGGCGGCGGCCCGGGGAGTGCAGCGCGTCAGCCACCTCCCCTTTCTGGCCATTCATCGCTTCCTCCACGCTGCCAGGGGGCAGGAATCGGCCGGCGACGTTGGCAGCAGTTGAAAAGGTCGCTTTTGGTGGTTTTTTTACTGCCTGCCGCCGGGAGCCCAGTAGGAAGTTGTTCGAGCTGACATTCTCCGCCCGCCCCCGTCCGGGCTGGGTGAGGCGGGCAAGCGGCGCGTCTCTCCCACCCCCACCCCCCTTTTCTGGAGCGCGCGGCCAATTTGGGAGGGAAGGGACGCTCTTCCGGGGTGGGGGATCCGCTCCTGGTTGCACCGCCGTTGCATTGGGGGAGAGGCTGCGAGCCTGAACGAGGAAGCGGATCCTGTGCGGGGCTGCACCGAGGAAAGGCGCGCTGCGTCGAAGGTTCCTGTTGAACTCGATGGGGCTGGGCGCTTAGTTCGCGGGGCCAGAGGGCAAGCCTCTCTGGTCTACTCAGAAGCAAGTCTCAGCGGTGCTGAGGGAATCTCACGCCCAAGATAAGTGTGCTGTTGCAGCCTCAGGCGCAGCAATCCAGCTGTAGCACATAGCTGCACTTGATGGCACGCTTAGCTTACGTGGGAACGAGACCCAAAACAGGGACGGGGAAGCTGTGACATTCCGGGTGTTGCTGGGCTACAGATCCCATCACCGCTGGCTGATGGGAGCTGGAGCCCAACAATATATGGAGGGCTACATCCTCCCCACAACCTATATGTGGAATAGAGCTACGAAACGGGGAGAGAGAGAGACTAGGCTATCAGAGATCGCAAAGCTCTTTCAAACTATTTTTAGCTGAGCTGATAACTGGTGGTATCAGGAAATCCTTAAACGTGCTCATAAACCATGCAAGCAGCTTTAAATTTCACTTCTGCTTTTTGGTGAAATAAAGGGAAGCAGGACAAATTAAAAGGGAACTCTGCTGCAGTGGTGGGACATTTAAATGTCTTGCTTTAGCCCTCTTGCAAAGAGGAATTTAAAATACAGCATAGGTTTTTCCTGGCCTTTTCTTTTTTTACCACCCTGGCATCTTTCATGTTTAATAAAAGTCTTCTTGGTGAAATGTGAGCAGCTTTGCAGCCTAATTAATTTGTTTAAGATGAATGGACTATTTGCATTCAGCCCATACGCTGAGCACAGAATACAGATGAAGCAAGCAGGCTATTTTTAATTTATTTCTGCTTGGTTTCCAGTTTCCACTGCCAGGCCCAAATCTCCCATGCATTCTCAAGCACTTTCATAACAAGGAAAGTATTCCCTTTTGTTAGCACACATGTCCATTGTTCACCAGCTTTGAATGTCATCGCACATACTTCTAGCAGTATAGAAGACACTCCCCATCCTGTCTATCCAGGATGCTGGCCCTCATTGTTCAGCACCTAGGCTCAGATGCATTTCTAGATATCCTTCTGGCCTGCCCATTATCATTCTGCACTTACACCACCTGCTGCTCCTGTCTCCAGTGAAACTGAGGGCTATGGGGCAGTCTTGACAGTTTCATCAATGCCATATTAGCTTTTACTTTCAAGTATTGCTATGTACAGAAGTGGTGCTATGCAAAAATGCACTTCTGAAGGAAAAAGCAAACAATGCCCCCCCCTAGCAGCAGGGAAAGTGGCCATTCTCAAATGTGTATTGGGGGAGGAATGAAGGGGAAGGACTTCTATAGAAAAGGAGCTGCCCATATTCTTCTAGGGCAAGGTAGTACGCTGACCATACCCAAGGTCAACACAGCTGATTCTAAAGCTGCGAAGGTGATTTGTCCTGTCCATGATGGTCAGTGCCCCTACAGATGGAGTAGCATTCCCTCAATGTATGCAGAGCCATATTCTATATTGATCAGACTAACCCCATAGACAACATATGGTAGCTTAATTTCCTTTAAGCATTCCTTCTGTGACCTGTTGGTTATAATAGTGTATTGCCCTGGCATGCACTTTCCCAGCGTAAGGGAATAGTAGCTCACTTAGTCTGGCCCACTCAACCCTGTATGCTCTGATTTTCATCATCTCCAATCCGGATGAGCTTCATGCCAGCTCTCCATGGGGGTGCAAAATATGCTCAGTGACTTGTGTGTGTTGTTTATTTTGTTGACATTTTCTTCCATCTAGCCATAGCATTCACCCTAGCAGGTAGGTTTTCAGCAAATAAGGGGACAGTAAGCTGCTTTGGTTGGTTGCTGGGCTCTGTATCTTAGAAGGAAGTGTGTGGGAGGTTAAAAGGGAGCTCCTGGCTCCTCTCGAGGTATCTAAGACATCGCCTCCCTTACTCAGAGGATGGAACCTCCCCCCATGTAGCTGCTGACCTTCGCTTGAGAAGGATATGCCCATACCTGTTCCCACTTCCCCCAAAATATGTCCTGGCACTTCAAACAGCATGAAAGAGCTGCCTTATTTGATTCTACAAGTGCTTTTAATTTGTGGTTCAGGTGGCCAGCCATTTAAAACAAGATTTACATGCTAACAGCTTCTGTAACAGTTCTGTAGTGCCTCCTTATCTGCATTGTAAATGGACTTTACCCACACAGGTCTAAGTACACATAATCATAAATGTGTGTACTGTAAACGATGTAATTTACATGGATTCATAAAAGTGTTTCCTGTGGCTGCCTGGTTTTCAGGAGGAGGCTTTAACCATGTTTTATCGATGCTGCGTTTGTAATAAAACTATGCCAAGTTGATTGAAAGGCAGTGTTTTTCTTGTTTGTTTGACTCTTTCGGACATGGGTTGTCAGTTTGTCCATTGAAATTAAGTTCCAGAGTTGTAAGATCCAGCTCTCAAACATGTCTCCATTTAGAGTCTTCCAATATCTTGCAATAGTCAGCCATGCAGCAGTCATCGGGTGAGTAATATCCCTGTGGGAAAGATTTTGCCAAAGAGGGTAGCTTGTTTTGTAGTAAGTCCTGCTTCATGAAAAACCATTTTCCCAAAACCAAAAAGCTTTGGGTCATTACCACCACATGTGGATAAATGAGCCAGTGACATTACAATTTCTTCAACACATAGCTGATTGGCAAAGTGTATTTGCTTCTTAACACCTGCATGACAAGCAGAAAATTAACAGGTGCATTCCTGTGTACACAAACTCATGTTTTCAACACGTGTCTTTTTCCAGTATTGAGCTCAGACTTGCAGCAAACTATACTTTAACTAGACAAGAGACCAAGGCCTAGTCTCAAATAATTTGCAAGTTATTATTAAAAAATAGAGATGGAGTGATTAAGGTGCAGGTTGCTACAATAAAACCAAGAGGTTTGATTGTTCAGGTAGCATTTGAGAGGACTTGCAAGTTTGGGCTTAAAACCACGAGGCAATAAAAGAGGGATCCTAAAATCAATTATGAGGCATTAGGGTGGTGCACATCAAATGGATGTGTGTGGAGCTAAGTTAGGTTAGAGAATGTCGAATGGAAATAGTGCTGGGGCAGAGTGGCTGATATGTTTGGGGAATGATAGAGATGGGAAGACAGAAGCAGAGGAGAGAGAGAAATTAGGAGGGCAGATATTACCTCACTTGGAGCGAAGGAGGAATGAAGTGGCTTCTTCGTGGCAGAGATGTTTCTGAATTGTCTTAGGCTGCTTGCCTGCTGCTGGTGGAGAGCAGAAGCTAAAAAAGTTCCAGTCAGTTGCAAGTGTGGCTGGGAGTGAACCCTGAAATCCTTTCCAAAGTCTGTGTCGCAACAAGTTAGTGTGTCGCCTGCAGTGTGTAGGTGTGTCACACAAACACTCCCCACACTCCACTTGGGGCTGGAAAGGGGTTAGTTTAACCTCCAGTTTGCTAGTAAAACTGAATTACTGTGTCACAAAATCATGCATGTCCAAAAAGTGTGTCACCAACATGAAAGGTTTGGAAAGCTCTGCTGTAGACAGTACAGTGGTACCTCTGGTTAAGTACTTAATTCGTTCCAGAGGTCCGTTCTTAACCTGAAACTGTTCTTAACCTGAAGCACCACTTTAGCTAATGGGGACTGCTGCTGCTGTCACGTTGCTGCCACGCGATTTCTGTTCTCATCCTGAAGCAAAGTTCTTAACCCGAGGTACTATTTCTGGGTTAGCAGAGTCTGTAACCTGAAGCGTATGAAACCCGAGGTACCACTGCACTGAGCTAAACAGACAGGTGGCTTGACCCGCCATGAGGCTGCTTGTCCCTATGAGGATTGGGGCCCTTCAATCTATTGACTGCTTATGGGTATGTATTAATTAAGCACAATCTACCTCAAAGGGTTGTTTCAAAGATGGAAATGGGGGAGGGATGCCCACGTCTTTGACTCCTAGGACAAAAAGCAAGATACAAATGCAATTTAATATTTTTGCACCATATAGAGAAAAACATGCAAAGAGCCAGGAAAACATCCCCCACCCATCTACCCAGTGGCTTTAACAGTGACATTACACAGCCCTGATATTTTACAGCTCCCCCCAAAAAGAAAGTTTGCTAAGCCTGACAAAAGAAATCCCCTGAGCATATACTGTTTCACAACTCATAAAACAGCAAAGAGAAGAAGCAAAAGGAAAATTTGGTAAAGCAGCACCCACCTGTCCTTAGAACTCTGTTCGTCTAGTGATTCAATATTGCTGCAAAGGAAACAAAATGCAAATGGAGGCAGACCTCATCAATTACCTATTGTTTGCGGGCAAAAAGTTGCTTTTTGCCGAGCTATAATTCTTTTCAGGGTTGTCCGCCGACCAATGAGAACAAGCCTCTTCTGCTCTTGTGCCTTTAACTGACATTTAATATGCAAAAATCAGTAGACAA